GTGGGAAAAACCTGCATTTTGAGTTAGAAGACCGGGGTATGATTCTTGAGCTTTCCCAATTATCTACTGGTTGTGTAACCTTTCCTACCTGTCACTTTTATATTGGTCGCATAATGTTACCGTTTTTGGAACTGAATTTCATCAACCGCTAAATGAAGATGCTAGGCAACAGAACTGTTGGATCCTTTTCTTGTTCTAATATTTTCTGATTTTAAGTGCTGTTAAATTACAAAATTTTAATGGTTTCTGCTTTTTCTTGACACCATTTGAGTCGTTCTCAGACATAAGCAAAATGGTTGAAACCTTTCCTGTCATCATCAGCTTCTTTCCTGGATGCGGTGCCAAACACACTGTGGACACCCAGATGAATGTTGATTGACAAATCAATGGTTCTGATGGCAATGAAGAGCCCCGGGGCTTTACTTCGGGCCGAATTCTCTCCTGCTTATACGTGTAGAATTCTGAACAGCAGGTGTGAACAGATCTGTATCTCCTTGCCCACGCCACCCTGACAACTGAAACCTTTGTTTCAAACGGGAAAAATGAGAAACAGCTAAAAATGTACTTTCAATCTGTTCTACTGTCCAGTCATTAGTTAAATTCCCTATACCACATTTCTTTAAATCAACTGACTCTTCGATATTGTTGCAAAGAAGGAGGGTACAAAGTGGTGAGAAGGAAGTCAGGAGGTACAGTTTCAAACAACTCCACTTCTCAGCTTAATATCCATCTTTCAAGACTAAAATACAACATGTCATGAACGAGAGCACATGTGTGAGCTGCCAGTGCTTCCTTGTATAATTGGTAGTCTATAAATAGTAGCAAAAATAATTTTAGTTACCAGTTATTGAGAGCTTAATTGTGGCAGGTATATATGTATATATATATATACATTACATACTTAAGGAGATCACATATATATATATAGTTGTGATATTGTGATCTGCAATAAGAATTTTTTATATGGTTTCGGTCCCTTTTCCTGGCACAGAGCTCCCAAAATCCTTAGAACTCCCTAATTGATAAGAGTAGTAAACAAGCTTGTAACAACTACACCAGAGGTTTGTTAATGAGGGGACTAAGGGAAAGCCCCAAAGGCTAGTGGCTGGTTGCCAGGGGAACCAACTAGGTGAGTAGAGGGTTGGAACTATAGGCCTCATCCCACCTCTGGGAGAGGAATGGGGCTGGAGGTTGAGTTGAATCACCACTGGTTAATGATTTAATCAGTTATGCTTAATGAAGCCTCCAAAAAAACCCCAAAAGGACTAGGTTGAGAGAGCTTCCCAGGTTGGTGAATGCAGGTAAGCTTCTGGGAGAGTGGTGTGCCCCAGAAAGGGCATAAAAGGCTCTGTACCTATTCTCACCTGCCTTGTCTTATGTATCACCACCTGGCTATTCCTGAGTTATATACTTTTCAAATGAAGCAGTAATCTAGTAAGTAAAATATCTTCCTGAGTTCTGTGAGCTGCTCTGGCAAATTAATGGAACCAGGGGATCATGGAAACCTCAGATTTATAGCCAGGGGGTCAGAAGCACAGGTAGCAACCTGGAATTATGATTGGTGTCTGAAGTAGGGAGGGGGCAGTCTTGTGGGACTGAACCCTTAACCTGTGGGATCTCACACTATCCCCAGGGAGACAGTGTAAGAATTGAGTTAAATTGTAGGACAACCAGCTGGTGTCGTGGAATTGTTTGGTGTGTGGAAAATCCACACATCTGGTGTCAGAAGTAAAGGAGTATATAGTATAAAGAAAAACACAGGAGGAGGTGTGGTATGTGTGTATATACATAAACTGTAAAAGATTAATAAAAAGAAACCTCAATTGAATGGAGTTGGGAGACCAGAAGGGGGCGCTCTCACACCCTGAGATGGTAGCACAGCCCCCCCAATAGGAAGAAGACTCAGCCAATGAAAAGCCACGGACTCTTTGTTTACTACAGCCCTCCCAACCTCCTTTCCTCTCTATAAAATCATTGCCTCCCCTTGCTGTGCAGAGACTTGCACGTGGCTCCCCATGGTTGCAGAGCCTGAACTGCAATTCTCTGCTGATCCCAAAGAAACCCATCTTTGCTGGAGAAATATCTGGCAGTCTATTTGTTTCAACAATACCATAGACGTATATACATACATAGATAATACCACAGAGGTATACGTGTATACACAGAGGTTTGAACTGTGTGGGTCCACTTAACAACGGATTTTTTTTTCAATAGTAAATACTACAGGACTCCAAGGTTCATTGAATCCATGGATGCAGAGCCATGAATAAGAAGGGACAACTATATATACTGTTAAAAATAAAACTACAGGCCCAAAATGACATCACTTGCGGTAAAGTCCATAATGTCAAACCTAGATTTAATACCTAATCTAACTGCAGTTGAACATTCTGCAGAAATGTAATCTTAATCAACCAGTTTGCAATTCTCCGGTCAGCACCTTTGAGGTAATCTGTCAAATGGGCCCTCTCCATCCCCCTACCCCCATCCCGGAAGAAGAGGCAATCTGCATAATAAAACCTCTGCCATTCCTTTCCCTCCCTCCCCCCACTCCCCAAAAGATGTCCCTTTCTTTTATTTTGCTAATAGCTCCCTTGCCCCACCCTTCCTACAACAATCTTCCATTTTGTACCACTCCTTGGGATGCCCTTCTAGTTGTTAGAAGACATGCTGCCCAATTCATAAACCCTTGAATAAAGCCATCTAGATCTTCAAATTTACCAGGTTGAATTTTACTTGACTAGCATATAGCTAAACTCTCAATGACTGGAAGCTATAATAATTCTTGCTAGTATATATACTTGTCAAAGAACAAAATTCAACCGAGTCCACTTTAGAGATTTTATTGTTGGGAATTCCCTGGTGGTCCAGTGGTTAGGACTCTGTGCTTCCACTGCTGGGGGCCCAGGTTCAATCCCTAGTCAGGGAACTAAGATCCCGCAAGCTGCACAGTGCGGCCAAAAAGTAAATAAAGATTGTATTGTCTTTATGCAGCGACTTATGTACGGATTAGCAGATTGAGAGAAGTTTTGAGGAACTGTACAGAATGAAAGGCTTTTACAGGTAAAAGGGCGCAAGAACAGAGAAGTCATACTAGGCATCTGCTGACTGATTAAAGTGAGGGTATTTTCCTTATATGGAGCAAAGGGAAGTCTAGGAGCCTGGTTAGGTAACTTGGGCTGAGCAGGCAAGCACTGATTGGTTTACCTTGGCCTTCCTTATTTTGGGAGAGCCAAGAATAGAAACTTTGTTAAGTTTTGGTTTGCTGACAAGGGACTTACTTAGCATGAGCGATTCCATCTTGGGCCAAAACTGGTTACTTTAATATATTAGTATTATACATATATACACAAACATGTATATGTATATATGCTTGCTACATACATACACACACATACACATACACGCATATATTTATTCCCCACAATAACCCTATAAGGCAGATGATATTATCCCTATCTTACAGATGAGGAGTTGAAGCTTAAGTTATTAAAGTAACTTCCATAGGTTATGCCAGCATAAGTGGCTGATCCAGGATTTGAACCAGGCATATAATTCCAGAGCCCACTTAGAGTTGTTTTGTGCCCCAAGTGGTGCAGTGAAGTAACTTAGTGTTAGAAAACAATTACTTATGCAACCTCCAGAGTAACTAAAATGAAAAACCAACAATAACAGCTGATAAACCCAAGTGCTGGTGAACATGTTTAGGAGTACAAATTGGAGCTGAATGTAGTGCAAATTGATGCAATCACTTTGGAAAACTCTTTGGCAGTATCTACTCACGCTGAACGTACACACTGCCTATTATCTAACAATTCCACTATCCAGTAAATATCCACTACATACGTTCACACAAAGCGTGGAATATACGTGCACTAAAAGACAGAATGTGCACAGCATCATTATTTGTAAAAGCCACAAATGAAATCAACCCAATGTCTATCAACAGTGAAATGGATAAAATAACAGGTTCTCACCTTCACGTAATAGAAATACGATTCAGTCATGACAAAAAACTACTGCTACACCCAATAGAGGTGGATATAATGTTGTGTCATGAAAGCCAGACACGAAAGAGTGTATTCAGTACAATTCCAAATTCCAAAAACAGGCAAAAACAGTCTATGGTAAAAGTAGTTAGAATGGTGGTTACCTTTGTCAACAGGTGACAATAACTGGGGGCAGGGAGGGCAACTTAAAAGAATCTTCTGGGATAGTGGAATTTCTTGACCTGGGTAGTGGTTATATGGATATAAAAATTCATCAAGCTATGACTTGTGTACTTCTGTGTGACATATTAAAATTCAATATGAAAGCTTACAAAAAAAGAAGAAGAGGGGGAGAAGGAAAGCAATTACTAAGAATCCATCCTCGTTCATTTCCCATAACCCCTTTCGGAGCACCAGGCCATCTCATCTGAAACTTGGGACCCATTTCATGTTAATACTTCATGTTTTGCCTAGTTTGTGGTGTTTGTGCAATCACCTTCTTCCTCACATACATATCTAATCAGTTACGAAATCCAACTAAATCCGCTTGCTTAAGTTCTATCCTCTCTTGCTTTCTTAATTCCCTTAGTTCAGGGTTTCTCAATCTTGGCACTACTGCAGTTTTGAACCAGGTAGTTCTTTGTTGTGAGGGGTTCTCTTGTGCACTGTAGGATGTTTAGCAGTTTCCCTGTCGTCACCCCACTAGATTATCAGTAGCACCCTCTAGTTGGAATAACCAAAAATGTCTCCAGACATTACCAAATGTCTTGAGGGCAAGGGAATCACATCTCACGCCACAGAGCCACTGTCTTAGTTGATGGAAGACCTCATTATTAATCACCTGCATTAGGGCAAGAGATTCTACCTGGCCCTCCTGGGCAGGACTGTATCTCTTCCCTATTCTTCACACACTCCACACAGTTTTACAGTTTTCTCCAGGATAAAATCTAGTATCTCTAATATGGCCAAAAAAAAAAAAAAAAAAAAGGGTATTATCTTTCCTCTACTTACCTCTCCAGCTTCCTACCCCAGCTATATTGAATTCCTTGTAGTTCCCTGAAGGATGGATGAAAGTCAGAAGAAGTGTTAGTCAGAAGTGTTAAGTACACTAGCAGCTTAAAAGATAAATGCAAAACTCCTAGGATGTTTTATATATAGAAAATGAGTAAGCATGTACTTTGTGAAACACAGACAGAACTGTGTTAAATACACATAGTGAGTTAGTAAACTATAAGGCATATCAAAGTGAAAATAAACCAAAAATATGATGGAACGGAGCATCAGAGTCAAAAAGGAATGGAAAAACTAAGATATGAATAATTATGCCACCTCTGGGATGACAACTACGTCACCCCTAAATCAGCCATCCATAGGTGACACCTAGTATAGTCTCTTACATGCTCTACCCAAGAAATACAAGTAAAACCCGTGTCTGTTCATCAGGCTAATTAGTAAGCTCTGGTTGTGACCAAACACGTTTCCCTGCATCGATCCAACAGAGCAGGTGTGTGCCATTGGGCCAAAGCACTTTCCACCTGTGGGCCTCCTTGCTGTAACCTCAACGCTAGTCTTCGTAAGCATAAGGTCAGTGGGAAAGGCTGATGTGGCAACAACACATGAACACTGCATAACTCATGACCCAGCTGATGTTGCCCTTCCACTTGTTTGCACCCTAGCCTAAGTGTGTCAGCTTGCCCCAACTCTTTCCCCTTACTTTTCACTAGATATTTAAATTGATTCAGTAAACCATGTTATTCAAGCATCTTAATTTGTCCTGAAAGACTTCTGTTTCACTACCTCTAGGATAGATTGCCTAACAGTTTACTTGGAGGCCACCATTGCACCAAGCAGTTTTCCATAGACAATTCAATTCAGGCATTAATCTCCTCCCAGAATTTCCCTGCCTTAGCACCTCTCATTTTATCCTGTCCATATCCTTGCGTTTCTGATGGCATTTATCACACCACACCGTGATTAACTATTTATTCCTCTCTCTCATTAGTCTGAGCTCTCTGAAAGCAGGTATAAATTTCATTCTTCTGCTCTCATGATAACTTAGCAAAGTGCCAATCACAAAGTAACTACTAAAAGAACTACTGAATGTCACCTCCTGTGGACACAGTTGAGGGGATTACCCATTGTTCTTACCTTTCTCCCATTTCTAAGATGGGTGTAAATTAGGGAGCGGCAAAAACCCTGACTAGGTTCAAAGCAGCATGGAGGTGTTAGGAAGGACCATTAGAGAGGTTCCCTGCAAAAAACAACTTACAGTAGGTGTGTATAGTATTGCTAGCAAGCTTGGGCTTCGGTGGATCTTATTTCCCTGTCTCACACTTTTCACCTGGCTAGTTAAAACAACAGTGGGGCGGGGTGGGGGAAGGGGTCCTCCTACCCCCACCTGAAAATGGCTGCAGGCTCAGACGCTTCAGTCTAAGGGATTTAGGGCCCTCAAAGATTGTAGGTGAATAAAATCTGTTTTAGAAATTAATAGCTCCTAAATTGGCCCAGACAATAGGGTTACAAGAAAGATACTGTGTGTGTGTGTGTGTGTGTGTGTGTGTTTCCCTTCTGAAAATTTGCAAGCGTCTTCCTGGTGCCTACACTCTACTCAAAGTAATAAACATAGCTATTCTTATAATTTATAATAAAGGAGATGCATTTTGGAATATATTTCGCTTGAGTGAAAGAAATCAAAATGTGAGACTCTAAATAAAGGGTCTCTTCTGAAAGTCTTTTTAACTCATTCACTTCTTCAGGGATTAGGAGGGTTGGGGTGCAAGAATGTGGCATCACGCACAGGCGCAGAGATTCGCGAACACAACCCAAGTTAGCCAAATTTGCATCTTGTAAAAGGTGGCCCCAGACACCGCCCAATTCCCTAACGTCCAACAGAAGAAAAAAAAAAAATCCAGACAGCCTCTGAAGCAACCATTGCCTCACCTGGATTCATTCGCCAATTCACGCCGCCCCGCCCTGTCCGCCCCGGAGGCGGTGGGCCAAGCTCCGTTCCCCTCTAGGCTTCTCCCAGCCCTCTCTTTATGGTAGCGCTGAGACTCTCTAGCCTGGCTCGCCGCCCTCTCGCTGGTAGCGCCGGGAGGAGCTGGGAAGCCGGCTGCCGAGGCCCCGCTGAGACGTTGCGGGTGCGGCCCGACCCCGGCGATTGAGAGCTCCCGCTAAAGGTGGGGAGGGCTGGGGGAGGCTTTGGGGAGGGTCGGGGGCGTGGAGACCGATCTCTGGGTGGGAGGAGGGCCCGGGCCAGGTGATGGAAGTCCCCAGGAGAGGAGGGGGAGCAGGTCGGACACGTGAGGGGGATTTTCAGCTGCTAACTGTGGCCTCCGCTAGCCTGCCACCCTGCAGCGTTCCCCGCTTCCTCCGGTTCATCTGCGGCCCCTTGTGTCAAGGCCCAGTACGGTTTCTACCACCGCATCTGTTGACCCCGCGGGTCGTCGCCACCCTTAGGGAGACCTGGAGCCCTGCTAATTTTGATTTAGGCTTGTCTTATTTAGAGGAGAGCTTTGCGGCCTAGAGCCCCATCCACAGCTTATATCTCTGCTATTTGGTTTTTATTTTTTAAATCGGAGCCCTCCCAGCCCTAGCTGTTTGGTTGAGGCCGGATGCCGAATAGTCGTCTTTCTTCCATTCCCGTACCGTGAACATGGTAGAGGCTCATATGATGTATCTGGTGGCTTGCAATATTCTGATACAGCCGTGAAGTAGGGGCGTTATGCCTATGAGCACAGGGTTGAGGTGGGGATAATTGCAGGATCCTGAGCACCTAGTCACATTGATTTGGGCAGATTCAGCCTTCTTTGTGTGAGATTCTGGCAGTTTAGGAACATGTATTCATTCGAAAGATGTTATCTACTAAGTGCCAATGTTGTGCTAGTTAGAGAAGTTAACAGCTGTAACAGGACCCTGGTGATTCCTTGCCCTCACGGAGCTTAATACATAATGGGAAAAACTAAGAAAGAAGAAAGCCTGTGATGAGCGCTATGAAAAGGGAAGTCCCTGAAGTTCCTTACTCTTTTGCCTTGAGTGATAGAGAAAATAACACCATATAGCTCCTGTCTTCCAACAGCTGAAAAGTAATAGAGTAAAAGTTTCAAACACAGAGGAAGAAGGACCTATAACAATAGTATTTGGGTAAGGCACAGCAGAAAGGTGAAGACGCTGGCACTGTCTTGAAGGATTAGTTAGCATTGCCTGGCTTTCCAAGCAAAGAGACAATATGAAGACATAAAATATAAAATAACTTTGCTAGTAGACTATTTTGACTTGGAGTATGTGACGTTTGAACAAGTAATGCCATGCTAAAGAGTCCAGACTTTGTTTTCTAGGAAGAGGTGGAAGTGTTTTCAACAGAATAGCTTACAGTTCAGTGTCACAATCATTTACGCAACTGTTTGACAGTTTAAGTATAGTATTAAGTACTGTTTGACAGTGTTGACCACATCCAGAATTCAGGTAGAATAAAGAGAGCTTTGCTCATTCATCTTAGTCTGGAAACAGTCTTTCAGTTGTTGAAATCAAGGGATTCTGTTCTCTTTGACGGTTTAGGACCATAGGAATAGAGAGAAATCACAAATGGAGTTTGGAGACCTGAAGGGTTTGCTGAATTGTGCCAAATGTGAGCAGTAGGCAGTATATAGATGGGTCTCATTGTTTTAATCCATTCATCCAGCCTATGTCTTTTGATTGGAGCATTTAGTCTATTTACATTTAAAGTGATTATTGATAGGTATGTACTTATTGCCATTTTGTTGATCATTCCTGGTTGTTTTTGTGGTTCTTCTCTGTTCTTTGCTTCTCTTGGTCTCTCCCCTCATGTTTTGATGATTTTTTTTTCAGTGTTATGTTTGCTTCCTTTCTCTTTGTTTTTTGTGTATCTATTATAGGTTTGTGGTTACCATGAGATTCATGTATATTGACATATATATATATATATATATCAGTTTATTTTAAACTAATCCTTGGCGTAAGTTTGAATGCTCTAAAAGCACATTTTACTCTCCCCCCCATGTTTTTGATGTCATATTTTACATCTTTTTATTTTGTGTATCTCTTAAATGCTTAATTGTAGTTATAGTTGATTTTACTACCTTTGTTTTTTAACTTTCATACCTGTTTTTAAGCAGCTGATGCACTGCCTTGACTATAAATTTGCCTGCACCAGTGCAGTTTTTTTTTCATATATTTCCTTATTTCTTGTTATGGCCTCTTCTACTCAAAGAAGATCTTTAACATTTCTTGTAAGACTGGTTTAGTGATGATGAACTTCTTTAGTTTTTGCTTGTCTGGGAAACTCTTTTTCTCTCCTTCAATTCTAAATGATGACTTTGCCAGGTAGAGTAATCTTGGTTATAGGTTTTTTCCTTTCTGCACTTTAAATATATCATGCAAAGTTACTGCTAAAAAACTGGCTGATAGTCTTTCAAGGGTTCTTTTGTATGTGATTGGTTGTTTTTCTCTTTCTGTCTTTGAAATTCTCTATCTTTGACTTTTGCTGATTCAATTATAGCTTGTCTTGGTGTGTCTTTAGGTTTATGGTGTTTGGAACTCTCTGTGCTTCTTGAACCTGGATATCTGTTTCTTTCCCCAGGTTAGGGAAGTTTTCAGCCGTTACTTCTTCATAGATGTTTTCTATTTCTCTTCTTCTCCTATAATGCAAATGTTAGTATGCTTGATGTTGTCTCTGAGGTCCCTTAAGCTCTTTTAAATTTTTTGCTTTTTGCTTTTCTGCTTGGATGACTTCCACTATTCTGTCTTCTAGATTGTTGACCCAGTATATTTTTCATTTCAGTTACTGTATTCTTCATCTCTGTTTGGTTCTTTTATATCCTAACTCTTAAGTTCTCAGTGTGTTCCTTCATTTTTCTCCCAAGTTTGTTAAGCATCTTTATGACCATTACTTTGAACTCTTTATCAGGTAAATTACTTATCTCTATTTCCTTAGGGTTTTTTCCTGGACTTTTATCTTGTTCTTTTTTTTTTTTGGAACATATTTCTCTGTCTCTTCCTTTTGTTTAACTCTGTTTTCGTATTAATTAGTGAAACATCTACCTCTCCGAGTCTGGAAGGCATGGCTTTGTGTAGGAGTGTCCTCTGTATGGACCGTGTGTGCCAGGCACCTTTGTCAGGCTGGTTGGACCTGGAGCAGGTGTGCGCCAGTGTGTCCTGGAGCACGTTCACATTGGGACCACCCTAGTGAGGTGACTGGAGCTGGAGCAGGCATGAGTGGAGCAGGGGAGGGATGCGGTCCCAGGGCTTGCTGTGCTCAGACCACCTTGGCAGGACAAGTGGAGCTGGGGGGTGGGGTGGGCCTGGGGCATGCTGGGGCAGCCTTGGCAGGCCAGTAAGAGTACCTGGACCATGATTCTGTCCGCACTATTAAGGTGTACGGGGGACACACAAAAAATGGCACTTTCTGGCACCTTGGACCCCAGAGACAGTTTCAGCAGTTCTCTGCCCATTTGGCAGACACTTGAGGGTTAGTAAATGGATTTCCTTCATCTAGAGCGTAGGTGCCCTTTAAACAGTTGCTTCTTTGCCCTGCTCTAGTGTGGGCAAGTCTGCGTACAGGCCCCTCAGTGATATGCCTCCCTACTGAAGGTCCTCGTCAGGGTTGGGGTTCCCATCGACACCATGCCTCCATCTCTTTTATCCATCCCCTGTGTTGTCCCTCTATCACTTATCACTTGTTCTGCAGCCCTCAGTTCTTCTTTGGCAGGAATGGATCTGTATGTAGGTACAAATTCAGCGTATCCGTGGGAAGAGATGAGTTCAGGGTCTTCCTACACTACCATCTTTGACTGGAACCTCCCAAATATTTTATTTTAAATAATACTATGGACCATATTTTTGTGTTAAGTTCACTTTATCTTTCTTATGGGGCCTGGGTCTTCTTGAGGTTTAAGACTATCCCACTTGGCCATTTAACCCTTCTGTTAGTACCCATTCAAGTGTCCTGTAGGTAGTTAGTATTTGAAGATAATGAGCACAAAAAGTTACCAGTTGCCAGAGGCATGATTTGTGTGTGTGTGTGTGCGCGCGCGCGCGCGCGTGTGTGTGCGTGTGTGCGCGCCCACGCGCGCGCTGGCAGACACATGCTTAGGACTGAAACTGCTGATTTGCAAAATAGGGGTGAAGTTGTTTTTTTTTTAATTAAGTAAAAGGTAAATGGGGAAATGCCTTACAAATTGTAAGACCCCTATACCGAAAAAACAAGACGTTTTTCCTGAAAGGGAAAGACTCTTAAAAATTGACCTAAAAATTCAGTAATTTTTTTTTTTGTTAAATTTCCTCTTAATGCTCTTTTTCCCACTAACTTGAAGTGGTAACCAAGCACCACTATCTCCCTCTGCTTTTGTTTTGTTAGTGGAAGTGATGGTTGTGGTTCTGCTTTGACTAACTCCTATAGGAGGCCTGTGATCATGTCCTAGAACTTGTGTTATTAGGGAAACTTGCTACTGTCGTGGCCTTGTATGAGGTCACTCAGCTTCTTCAGTGCATCCAACCTACCTACCGTAGAGTTGGGTAATGAATAGCAAGAGATAGTGTTTAAAACTTATTCCATGGAATCTATAAAAAACAAATAATTTTAAAATATAATGTTTAAAAAATGAACTGATAGATAAAGAGAACGGATTGGTAATTGCCATTGTCGGGGGTTAGGGTGGGCAAAATGGGTGAAAAGGGGGTCAAAAGGTACAAACTTCCAGTTGTAAATAAGTAATGGGGATGTAACATCCAACATGATAACTAGTTAATAATACTGTACTGCATATTTGAAAGTTGCTGAGGGAGTAAATCTTAAAAGTTCACATCACAGAAAAGAAACATTTGTAACTGTGGTGACAGTTGTTAACTAGACTTATTGTGGTGATCGTTTTGCAATATATACAAATATTATATCATTACATCGTATACCTGAAACTAATATAATGTTATGTCGGGTGATACCTCAGCTTTTTAAAAAAGCTTATTCCCTAACTTGTCAGTGTTCAGAT